ATAAAAGAGCGGTTATGTGTGGCACGACTTGTCGCTGAAGGATGTAATACATCCGGCAGAAGGAGGAGAATATGTGCTCAAAGGATCTGAACTGGTGGAAGGATGCTCCGGTTCCGGTTAGTCCCTTGTTTTATCCTCTATAAAGGCTAAACTAGTAAAGTAATATATTGATTTACGATGCAGAGAGATATAATAATGTGAGGAACAGGAAGAAGCAAGGAATTGATGATGAACAGGCGGCGTTCAGTGTGTGCAAGGAGGAGGAGGAGGGAGAGAAAAGGAGTTGGACGACGAGGACGCACTCTGGAGGCGTGTGGAGGGAGGATCCGGAAGAGGAGAAGAAGGGAAGGAAGGTGGTGAAGGGGGAGGGGGTGTCGAGTCGTTACTCGGTTCTGCTGCAGCTGATAGCGTGTGGGAGCGCGGGAGCGGAGTTGAAGGGGAAGCAGGGGACGAAGGAGTACTTCAGTGGGAGCTTGGTGGAGTCTTTGAAAGGCACCCAGAAGGAGGAGGGGGAGGCAGTGCTCAACAAGTCTAATTCCTACAACGAACTAAGGTACGTTGCTTCTGTGGCTCAAGCTCAGGACCTACTTATTATTTTCACATGCATATGCATTCATCTTCATATCCATGCAGGAGAAGCAGACTAGGGATGGAGATGGAGGCAGAGGAAGAGAAGGGACTCAAAGACAAATGCATTCCTCTCATCAAATCTCCCAAACACACTACTACTTCTACCAAATGATACATTATTATTATTATTATTATTATTCATCCCAATTCTAAGTTCTAACTACTAATTACACCTACTTCTCTTCTTCTGCTACCGCTGCATCTCATTCATCTCTCATATAAATAATAAATAATGTCCTACAAACCATTCTTGCTATAAGTCTCACATTAACCCCCTTGCATAGGTAATATAGGTAACATAATAATAGTTATTCACCAATACACTCTCTGTAAATTATTTTATACCGCTAATTAATTAAATCTTTTAATTCTGTCACGTTATAACATAACATAACTAAAAGATCTAATTAGTTGCCGAAAAATAAAATTATGCATGACTTATTAAAAAATCTGGTTTATGACGGGGAGAATATATAAAATTAAAAAGTGTGACTCACAAAATTTACAACTAGGATGTAATGATTTTTTTTTTCTCATGTTAAAGTTAAATGTGTTTTAAGACATTTATTTTATTTCTTTCCCTTTTTTTTTTAATTTTTTATCTTACTATGCAAATAAAAAGATAATTTATTTTATTTTTTTCTCACTTTTCTTTTATTTCTTTTAATCTAAGCACTCTAAATATTTACTCATTTTCTATTAATTCTGTTTTTTCTTTTATTTCTCACTATCCTGCATGCGTTGGTTTGGTAAAAAAAAAAGACAAAATAAGATTGAAAAGGATGTTATTTAGCTTGATATAAAAATAAGAAGAAAATAATATTGAATAGGGTGCTGCACTCACGTGAAGTTCCCCTCTCCTCTCGTTTTAAAGTCGTTACAAATAAAGAAACATTTCTCAATTTTTGAGTGCTTGCAAATTACAACTTGTTACAATCCCAAGCGTGTGGTTCAGCA